CATTCCTTACAGGAGGCGAGCGATATGCATTCCTGACAGGAGGACTAGTTAACAGCATGAGTGTCTAAAAGCTAAAAGTAGCAGAACAGAAGTCAAAAGTAGCAAAAGTCTAGTTTAAAATGTGAAGTTGCTAAACCTTAGCTAAAACCTAAACAACTAGCTAACAGCATTTTAGTATCTAAAAGCTAAAAGTAGCTTAAGAAGACAGCCAGCAGCTAAAACAGCTAACGTTAGGCAGCAGGAGAACCACTGTGTTGCTGACTCAGCGTTAAACCGAACCATGGAAATGGATGCAGATGTTTGAAGTTGAACCCAGCAGAACCAAAGAACCGTCCACAGAACCTGAACTTTCTTTTACTGAATAAACAGAAACAGGAAGTTCCACTAAACGTTGACACGTGTGTCAAAAGTTATTCTGTATAAAAAGTTCTTATGAATGGAACCAGAACTAACCAACAAAATGTCTTCAGTGAGTCTGCTGACACACACACACACACACACACACACACACACACACACACACACACGCGCGCTCTGACAGTGAGGAGAAAGTGCAGCTCTTCCATATATGGACAAACTTCCAGCGGTGTTTGGGAAAGTGATGTCACAGGAAGCGGAGCAGACTGCCAGCTCACCGCCTGGCCCGACCCGAGCTGACAGCATCAGCAGGCCCGAAGAGGCGAAGCCAGCAGAAGTAGCCGAGGGCAGTTCATCATCAGCAGCAGCTGAAAGAATTACACTTCCACTAGCCGATGAGACTTTTACAAAGAAACTAAAGCTATATTTAAAGCTTCAGGTTTAGCTGTTTGTCCACCGTCAACTAAAAGGATTAATCAGAAGTTAAATCATAAACTAATCTGTTTAATGATCTGATTATTTACATGTTTATGTGTTTAAGCAAACAAAGTATTCACCCTCTGCAGGTTTGACACTTTTATTTCTGTCATAAATCAGTCATGATTGACCTTCTGTTTAAAACAACAAATAAAAGCTTCTTCAGAGACTAAATAAAATAATTTTTCTATTCTAAATAAAAACAACTGACGTAAAACTGTATAAAAATTCACTCCCTTCAAAGTTAATGTCTTAACTTGGAGCAAAGGTCTCGTTCTAAAACCTTTTCAGGCTTTCTGCACCCACGGAGTCTGTCCATACCACATGCAGTAACGCACCCCTATACCATCAGAGAGGCTGACTGTTGACCGGTTAACACCCAACATGCTCTCTGTAGTGCAGAGGAAGGTGGTTCCTGACAGAACGTCAGATTTGGATCCATCTGACCTCAGTCCATTTGAAATGAGTTCTGGTCCAGAGCAGACAGCAGTGGTTCTGGATGGTGTTCACATCTGTGAACAGAACCAGACCTGGTTTTACTGCAGTGGCACCTCGTCCTTTGAGCTCAGGTTTCTTCAGCTTCTAATCTGTGGATCAGATTATGAACTGGAGATGATGGAGACTAAAGTTTTGGTTCAGGACCTTTAATCTGACAGAGTTCCTGTAGTTTCAGACAGAACCTGTGCCTGTTTGACAGTCTCTGACTGAGCTGCTGATAATTAACTTCATTAAATGTTCCTCCAGCTGGTTCTGATCCGGACCTCTAACTGTCACAGACTTGTTGCTGCAGGAGCAACTTTTTTAAAAATAAAAATATCTTCAACATTTATGTTGTCTATGTTTCATTTAGAATAAAATATGTTTTATACAGTTGTTAAATTATTGCATTTTGTTTTTATGTACAGCTGACACCATGTCCTGATGTCTCCAAGGTTGAGGTTGGACTAGACGTCAGTATGAAGCCCGTCAGGTTCTGGTCTTACAGGACAGATGACTGACCTGCAGTGTTGGTTTTACTACAGGAGAGGTTCTGTTCACTTTCTTTGACATTGTTACAGTAGTAGCCATCAGAAGTCCAGAACCTCATGTAAGGAGTCCGTGGTGCATTCAGAGGCGCTCAGGTCATGTGAAGAGCCAGCACATTTGGCTGTGTTTGGTCTCTGGCCACTTCCCAAACTATTCCAGTCATGTAGGGAGGAGGTTCCTCACCGGCTGAGCCATGTATGGAAGACTGCAGCAGGATGGAGACGTGTTTGGGTCTGAGGCAAACGTCTTCAGTCCAAATCCAGGATCAGACTGAACACGTTGTTTAAACTCAAATGTTGCTACGTTCAGCATGGATGAGCTGATTTATAGTCAGTGATAATTCAAGAAGAAATGCTAAGAGAAAGCAACAGAACCAGCAGGACTCTGTGGTTCAGCTGGACTCGTGCGTGGTGTGAATGTTCCCTCTGATGGAGGAAACAGAAACATGAAGAGTCCTCCTGTACTGAGACCCAAAAACACCAACCCAACCATGAAGACCAGATTATGTAGCTTCATTGGACTGTAAAGTTAGCTGAAGCATAAACTTTTTATAATGTCTTTTCTTTATGTCCAACAGTCCTGCTGCAGTCCTACAGTCCTATTACAGTCCAAATGTCCTAATTCAACCCACCACTCCTACAGCAGTCCAATAGTCCTGCTGTTGTCCTACAGTCCTGCTGTAGTCCAACA